ACGAAAAAGGCAACAAAGGTATCTTTGGCGTGGTATACCCCTATGCTCTTTCCAGGAGTGTCGCCCATAAAAAATTAAATTAAAATTTCGGCGGTATACCACCTGTCCATTTTGGATTTAACCTCTTTCGCCCTGGTGTTGTAGATTTTCTCGCCCCTAGCATACGCTCGCTTCAGGGAGTCAAAGACCTTACTCCTAATCAGTTGCTGTTTATCTTCTCGTAATTCTACTCTACACTCTACATCTTTGATCGACCCCAGTCTTCGTAAGATTGCATATGATCCGCCGTCCTTCACCATAGGCATTCCGTATACAGTAAAGTAAGGGGACTCCTCTGTGGCAGAGTGTACTACGCTCCTTAATGGGAAAGCTGCATCCCTGACACATTGGTCCCAATTTTTCTGAGTTTCACCAATATAAGCCCTTATCATTTGCAATACCGACCTATTTACTCGCTGGTCAGCATTTGCTTGTGAGGAGTAGAAAGCGGTTCGTATATGCCTCGTACCGTACTTGTCCAAGAAAGAGGTGAACACCTCTGATACGAACTGTTTGCCATTGTCCGAATGTACAAACTCCAGAACTCCGAAAACATGAAAAACCTCTCTTTCGAGGAACTGTACTACTTTTGCAGCTATCGCTCGAGGCATAGGCTTAAGGAAAACAAATTTGGAGAAATGGTCTAGACATACAAACATAAACACATTTCCATCCTTTATACGAGGATAGGGTCCCATAAAATCGACGTAAAGACGTTGGAAAAGTCGCTCAGTTATTTGTTGTTTGCCCATTGGCGGCTTTTGAAAATTATAATGGGTCTTATCGTTTTGCATACGTCGCAATTCTTAACCTGTCAGTAATACTTCTCACGCAAACGGGCAATCGTCTTGTGGACTCCACCGTGGCCTGCAGAAGGTGAGTGATGTGCCGCTTCCACCAAATCCAACCTCAGCTCGGAAGGCACCCAAAGATTCCAGGTATGGTCCTCTTGAAGCTCATCTCTATTAAATTGAGTCCGTTCGTATATATATCCGTCCGATACGCACAGTTCGGGTAGTTTGTCTTGTCTCGTGGTAATGGTCTGTTTTAGTTCTTCGTACTCGGCACTCTTGAAATAAGGTGAGTCAAGGCACACGTCCATTATCCGGTCTGCCAACCTGATTTCCTCAACATCCATTCGTGAGAATGTGTCGGGTACTACGTTTTGTGCTCCCTTGCGGTGTTGGATATCGAAATTAAAAGCTTGCAGCTTCAGACTCCACCTAGCCAGTCTACCGCTTAGGTCCTTCTAACCCATTAACCATTTAAGGCTAGCGTGGTCTATTAGAATTGTGAAGGGCAGGCCCTCCACATATGGTCGAAAACGCTTCACACTGAGCACTGCTGCATAGCATTCTAACTCTGTCACACTATAGTTTCGTTGGGCCTCGTGCAGCTTCGCCGACATATACGCGATCGGTCGCTCGTTTCCGTCCTTGTCCAACTGAAAAAGTACCCCGCCCACTCCGTCCGTCGAAGCGTCGCATTAAATGTAAAAACGTTAATGGTACTCCGGGTGCACCAAAACCGCTGCGGAAATAAGACTTTGCTTCAGTTGCTCAAACGCCTCAATAGCTTCGTCCGTCATGTCAAACCTTTTGATTTTCTCTTTGGTGAGAAGGTCTTGCAGCGGTGCTACAATGGTTGCGTAATTTTTAATAAAACGTCGGTACCACCCTTTCAGGCCCAGAAACCGCCTGAGCTGCTTCGGGCTCTTTGGTTGCGGAAAATCTCTCATCGCTGCAACTTTGTTGGCATCTGTACGTATGCAACCGCCGCCCACCACGTAACCTAAATAACGAGCCTCTTTGAAACAGAACTTGCTTTTCTCTACATTTATCGTGAGTTTCGCGTCACGCAAACTCTTAGCGACCTTTTCCAATATTAACATGTGCGACTCAAAATCTACAGAACAAACTAACCAATCATCTAGGTAAAGAAACACATATTCACGTAAAGCGGTCGGAAGGACCTTGTCCATAAGACGACACATACGTTGAACAGCGTTACATAGTCCGAATGGCATAACTGTAAACTGGTATAGTGGCCTGCCAGGTACGGTGAATGCTGTTTTCTCCCTAGATTTTCTTCTAAAGGGATTTGCCAAAAGGCATCTTTTAGGTCAATAGCTGAAATGAAGTGCGTGTCCTGCAGCCTGCTAAGTATTCCACCTATATGGGGCAAGGGATATGCGTCTTTAATAGTCCGTTCATTCACCTTCCTGGCTTCCAAGCACAGCCGGTTTTTTGTTCCTTTGATGACAAGTGAAACTGGCGAGCTCCAGCTGCTATTACTTTCTTCAATAACGCCCATGCTGAACATTCTATCTAATTCGGCAAATACTAGCTTCTGAATAGCAGGTGAGATCGGGTAGTGTCTTTGTTTGACGGGAACATTTTCATCCACTATTTCGATCACTTGCTCCTCTATATCAGTCCTACCTAACCCAAACTGGGCGAATGATGGAAATTCGGATTTCACTTTTTCTAACACATAATTATGCGCTGTAGAAAGGGTGTGCTGCAGCGCATCAAATGTGAGGTCACACTCGGGTGGTGCGAGCTCTGAAACAACCATATCACGTGTGCGTTCATTAATTCCTTTACTAACTACGTTCATTTGGAAGACACGCCAAAAATCAATTCCTAAGTACACTTCTTGAGTTAGCGCACTATAAGGAATTCTAATTCCCTTGTTTTTCCATCCCAAATGATCGGAAGTGTTATCACGCCCACTACTAGCGTCTCGCCACCGTTTGCGGTGCGGATGTTCTGCCCGTCAAGATGCGTTATACGGTCTTCCATTCCCTTTAGAAACCTTGTTGCTCCTTTGCTAAGGCAGCTGGCACATGCTTCCGAATCTAACAATGCCAGGACCTCGTGCCCGCCAATGTTCGTGCGCGCAAAAAAAGATTATCACCTTTGAGGGTCACTATAGTGGCAACGATTTTTTGCCGTATTCTTCAAAGCGTTCGATGTTTTTCCCTCATCTTTTGGATCTTTCTGTAACTCCTACCCTTCCGCTTAGATGTCACCTCTTCCATAAAAATTCTCTTCCTAACTTCATCATCTTACTTTTTTCTCTCGTGCAAAATTTTCGAACAAAAACAGATTCTCCCTAGCTATCAACTTTACAATTTTCATTCCTTACACCCTGATGCCTCAAAATCTTTACTTTCTGACTTCTTCTTTACTATTACCTAAGTTTCCGGGGGCTTCTGATTCTGGGTAGAGTGCCCGGCCATCTCCGCCAGGGCCCGGTTTTCCGCCTCGGGCTTGAAAACACAAAATGACGCATCATCACCACAAGAAAAACATTTCATACTATGGAACAACGATTTACATTTGTTATCCTTTGCTGCTTCTGCCAGGTTCTTTATGTAGAACTCCACCGGCATCCCACAAGCGAAGCATAACATGAGGTGGAAGGGTGAAGAGCAAAACATTTGACTTAGGACGCTACTAACAATTTGGGACATACTACCACCATGAGGATTGGGATTAAAGGATGTGGACTTGGATTTTGACGGTTCACGAGGATTGGCGGTACCAGGCACGCTACCAATACTTTTTGCGATTCCTGCTATCTCTATTAAGAGCTTCCAACCTTATGTTTTCTGCCAACTCACTTTCTTTTTCCCATTTGCAATCTCTAGCCCCTAATTCGCTTACTATCCTGTTTCTGGTTCTGTTTTCTTTAATTAATTTTTCAGCTCGCTTGCACTCACTCTTGAGTTCTGCTAATGTCTCTGTTCTAGTTGCAAAGGTCAAATTTGCCAAATATGGCTTAAGGTTTCCTTTGATTATTTTCACAAGCTCGGCTTCGGGGATTTTCTTTCTGGGAGGGAATGTGAGGTCATGGACCTCGGAATAGAATTCTTCGAACGTTTCCTGTGAATTTTTTTTTCTCTGCATTATCTCTTTAATTACTTCATAATCCGAATCTGCTGATTTGAACTGAGACACTAATTCAGACTTTAATTCAAAATAGCCGAAGTCTTTGTCCTCTGCGTGATCTTCCAGGATCTGCCAATACCATTTTAGCGCATTGCCGGTCACCTAGCAGTGGAAGTCAGCAAACAATTGTTCGAAAGGAAGTTTATATTGGTCCCTCATTCGTTCCAAGCGATCCAAATATACCTTTTTCCTATTAACGTATCGTTCTGAACTTATGGGCCCTGTTCTATCTATATTGTTATCTCCCTCTCTATCTTGACCTGGTGTTGACGTTGTTGGCGGGGCAGGGGGAGCAAAAGGGGCATGCATCGATGCCTCTACGTCCGCAACTCTGTGACTAAGCTGTGAAACGTCTGTCCTCATCTTTCTCATCTCGTCCATGCATTTGTCCATGGCACGGTTTTGTTGCATTATTAGCGTCATCATCTGCCCTAACTGGTCAACACGGTCTGTCATGGGTTCAGCTGCAACACCCTGACTTCCAACTCCGGCCTCCTGTGTAGCTTGAGTTCGTTCTCCGCCCACGGCACCTTCAACCATGTCATTACGCTCCGTTTCTTCTTCCGACATTTCTAACACCCCCTCCAACTTTCTTGAGAAACTCAGTGAGTTATCGGACGTGTTTATTATTATTTTGTTCGTGATGTTACAGCCTGGTCGCGGTTCTACCTCTGTACTCAACCGCCCAAATACTCTGGCCGAGCAACGATTGAAAAAATCCGTTGGGAGAAAATCTATTGCATGTTCGATACCTGTATCGATTTGCGTTGATATGGATCCTACAACCTGGTTTTCAAGTGCTCTAGCAATGCTACGAGTAACTCTCCTATCACATGCTATAATTCCCAAGCCTGTCCTCCGCGTATCTTCACTATTCTCACGATTCTCCATTCACTCGTAAAAAAAAACTAATTCGACGCTAACCGCGGATATTATTATTATTATTATTATTTTTTTTAGTAAAATTTCCGAACGCAGTCGCCAAAAAAGTGAAAAATTCCACAAACAAATCAACCAAAAATCCAAATATTCTTCAGTATTCAGTGATTCAATTAAAATCTAAGTATTTATCTTTAGCAAAGAAACAAAGAAACAACAAAATTGAAAAACTTCAATCAATTGTACCTATAATGGCTCAGTTATGCATACTTGTCTTCACTTGACTTGACTTGAGAAGTGTCACATAACGATTCTGTTTAATGAATTTTCTGTAAAAGTGATTAGCCAACACCTAATCGAACATAACTTTACTTGCAAGTCTGTTGAATTTTGATTTTCTACGGAAAGTCCAAGTGAGATTTAATATTAGTGATGCCACTTGCGTTTGTTTACTTGATTTTGACAATTCTCTTCACACACTTGACATTTAATCAAGCACAGACGCTTGGCGCTTTTTTGGATTTTGACAAAAAGTAAGCATTATTTGTTTAATAAAAGCTAAATTTTCGTTTATTAAATGATACTTTTGTCATTTTCAGAATGATTGACGAGGAGCGGTTGATTGACTTGGTGCGTGACAATGAAGTCCTGTACAATAAAACCTGCGTGGGCTCCAGGTTGCCAGCAAAGAAGTTGGCGGCTTGGGCTGCAATATCGCGGGAGCTTGGCGCGACAGGCTTGTGTAAAAATCCTAAATTGGAGTTGTATGAACAATATCCTTTTACGTTTTTAGAAGAGCAGTGTACCAAGCGCTGGATTTCACTACGTGAGCGATATACCCGCGAATTGCGGAAGCTTGACGCCCCGTCAGGAAGTGCGGCGGCTTCGCAGCCGACCTGGCACTTCTCAACCAATATGGCTTTCCTTAAGCCGTTCATAGCGCCAAGACCGTAAGTAGTTTAGTTTCTTTTACTTTAGTATAGTTACTGATAGAATGCCCGATTTTCAGCACTCGATGCACTATAAATATTCTGGACACAAGCTATGAAAGCACGCTGTCTGAGCAATCTCCGCAATCGCCGCTTCTGCTTCCGTTGGCAGATGAGAACGAAGAAGGGTACCCTGAAAGATATTCAGGCGATCCCGTGGCGTCGACGCCTAATATATTTAAAAAAAGAAAGCGGCGGGATCAGAGTGACGACGGAGAGAAGGACCGATTGGCGGAGAACAAAACTTTGCGGTCGTTTGGCCAGATGATTGTAGCATCTATTGGCGGGATGAATGAAAGGAAGCAGGCGAAAGCGATCCAAATAATCACAAATGCTGGGATGGCATTAAAATTAGAGCCTGACGACTAATGTCAAATCGTAATACAGTCTTTTTTGTACAATATTCATAATCGGCCCTATCGCGAATTTCAAGTGAACAAATATTTCCAAAAACTATAAAGCAAAACATACAAAGTTCATTCTACAACAAACATTATGAATATTGTACGAAAAAATACTATTTGCTCATTTTTGCTCGCTATTTTAGATTTTTTTCGAACTGCTAACAAAGTAACCAAAACGTTTATCAACACGATTTTCACAATACTTTACAGGTTATTGAAATGTTGTTAACATAATGTTTTTAAATGCTTTGCATTGTTATGTATGTAAATGAAGTAGTAATGTATTTTCTTAAAAAAAAAAAACGGTACCTGAAGTAAAGTTAATTTGTAACGTTTATTGTTTTGTTTGTTATCCGCAAAATAATAGAGTGCGATCTTTTGACCAGTTTTGACTATTTCTTTTTTTGTTTATTTAAATATTATTTGTTTATAAAAGTGTAGCGTGTTATTCAACAAACACCATGTAAAGTCGAATTTAAAACTTTGTATACAAATTTAACCAAAATTTCAAACTTTTTAATCAGAATTTTAACAATTTTGGTATGCAGATTTATAGCCCATTTAATTCTAGTGTAACGAAGTGCAAGTCTCAAGTTGGTAAAAAAGCCCGGTGATTTTTGAGAATTTTTTTTTTTTTGATGGCAGTGTCTTCCATATAAGAGAAAGAGTCGAACATACTTTGTATGGAAAAAATGCGAAACACCTTCAACCAAAAAAAAATCTCAAAAATGATCAAAAGATCGCACTCCTATTATTTTGTGGGTAACTGTATATACATACATGTACGTATTTCATTTACTTACATATATGAATTCTTGTCTTGTAATTTGTTTTGTACCTAATATAAATAAAAGTATTTTTATAACGTTTTAAATATATGGTCTTTGTATTTCAGCTTTAAATTTTATGTATGTAGATACATATGTATTTCAAAGTACTACACAGCAAATAGTGTAAATTTAATAATACTTTAATAATTGAGGGATTCATAAAGGTCTAAAAGCGTTTACTAAAGTTTACTAAATACAGTATCGGACATATCATTTGCAACAAATTTCAAAATGATATTATTTGCAGCTTATGTTGATTTATTTTTAAGAATTTTCATTTAAAATATAGTGCGATCTATGTATAACAGAAACCACAGAAATAAAAATTTAAAAAATTGCACGATGTTCACAAAAATTAAAACTTAACTCAAACTTAAAAAAATTCTCATCAAAATTTCAAATATAGTTCATACTACACCAAAAAAACATAAAAATAAAATCTATAAACTTTGTGCAAAACTCAGGAAAATTCAATAAATTTGCAACTTTTTATTTAGATTTTTCAGTAAAATTAAAAGTATGCAGTTTTAAAGTCCATTCAATTCTAGTATAACAAAGTGCAAGGTTGAAGTTGCTAGAAAATCGGGTTAATTTTTGGCAATTTTTTCACGCCGGTTCTTCCATATAAAGTATGATCGACAATTATAATTAATAATTATTTATTGTATGGAGAAAATGAGCAGCACCTTTCACTAAAAAAAAATCTTTAACCTTGCACTTTGTTATACTAGAATTGAATGGGCTTTACTCGTAAAACTGCATACTTTTAATTTTTCTAAAAAATCTAAATAAAAAGTTGCAAATTTATTAAATTTTCCTGAGTTTTGCACAAAGTTTATAGATTTTATTTTGTTGTTTTTTGGTGTAGTATGAACTATATTTTTATAAAAAATTATCGAAAATAAATTTGAATAAAAAACTTTCCATATCTTGCGAAAACATAGCTTTGCCCGACGCTCCAGCTTTAGCTTAGAAATCTGCAATCAAAAATATATTGAATTTTTAGAATATAAATAAAAGTTTAATAAAATAATTGATACTAACTTATCTGTTCATTTGAAATGGAACTGCCCCTTGATTTTGTAAATAATCTGCTAAGACATCTCTGAGACGGAATGCAGTCGTAGTCGTTTCGCCGAGATGATGTAATCGATGGTAATGGACCTCCTGAGTTCTCTAGATCAAGACGCCATCGTCCATTTTCTGAGGATTCGTCCGCGTTGTCCGTATCAACAAAGTCATCAGGACAATACCAACGTTGATGGTCATTTAGCATGATGAAGTTGTGGAGGACGAGGCATCCTAAAACAATTTTCTCACTATTATCCGGGGAACATTCAATTGTTTTACGCAAAATACGACAGCGAGCAGTCAAAATTCCAAAGCTATTTTCAATAACTCGACGGGCTCGCGATAGTCGATAATTAAAAATGGTTTTGCTTTGCAGTAGTTGAGTCCCTGGATACGGCCGCATTAAATTTTCCTTTAAAGGGAATGCTGCATCGCCAACAAAAAAATGAGGGAAATCCAGCCTGGAGCCATTCCACAAAGGAGTTTTTGGAGGTAAAGGCAAACGGTTTTGAAGGAGTGAGCGTCCAAAAGCGGCTTGTTGGAAAACACCTTTAAATTTAAATAAAGTCAGTAAATGTCAAAAGTTGTAAAATCTATGTTACCTCCATCGCTTTGTCCACCGTAACTTCCAATATAAGCAGAAGTAAAAGTATATTTTGCATCACAGGTAGCCATAAGTACTATGCTAAAAATTTTCTATAGTTGTAGTATAATGACCCTGAATTGTTGGGGCATGTGATGGCAATATGTTTCCCATCGACAGCTCCGACACAATTTGGCATATTCCAGAGCTTCAGGAAATCTCGCGCAATGTGCACGTATTGTGATGTAGTCGGTTCGCTGAGGTATGTCGGGGACAAAGCGGTCCATATCACCTCACATACACAATATTGCGTACAGTAGTTTTACCCAATTTGTGTATGGAAGCAATAATTACACCGATTATTAAAGAAGTAAAACATTATAGTAAACTACAAATGTGCAATGTGAGAGGATTTGAATGATTGGTTTCAATTGTATTTGGTTTAAAAAAACTAAAAATAACTTACAATACATTTATTCAATCCCTGGAATGTGTAAAAATAGGTTTTTACTTACATTAACAATTTATGCACTTCAAGACTGTTTTTTATTAATGCGGTAAGGCTCTGGAACTCCCTTCCACTGTCCTTGAAGAACGCGTTGCACATAGGCAACTTCAAAAACTCGTATTTAACTTTTTTTCTTCCAAGCGTGATCAAGAATAGTGAATAAGCTTACCTTTGTTTTATTTTAGAATATATGATTTGTAATTCAACGTATACATTACCTTAATCTATATTGTAATATTAATTATTATCTGTACTTTTTATTTTATTTTTTGCAATTTGTTTGTATCATTGTGCAAGTAAAGATTACATCTTAATGCACTAATGGTTTCAATATAATATTAAATAAATAAATGAATATATAAATATAAATATATATATATTATTGTTATTGCTAGACGCTCTTCGGGCCTAATTTGCTGCTTGGGGTTTTGAAGGAATTGGCCCACCAAATTCAGAAGCATGTCGTATATTGTACGCCTCATCCTGGCCAAACCGAACAACTTATCATCTTCCTCCTTGGCTTTCAGGAAAACTTTGATGAAGTACCCGTTGGGTCTTCGGTCCTTATTGATTGGGTGAACTGCCCAGCGACGGATTCTTCTTGATTTCTGCCGTCGTTTGTAGATGCGAAGAACGTTTAGGAGTAAAAAGTCAAGAAAAGACTGCATCCAAGTTTGCGGAAATTAGTTTTTAATATCACCAAAAGAATCACTGATTGCTGAAATTTATTTGCTCATACGCTAATCGGCATTTTACTATTAATGAAAAATCCAGAATAAAATGACAGCTCAAAGACAGCTGATGAAGATGCCAGATTGCATGCGCTATGTGGAGTATAATCAGCTTTGTGTTGGCCATGTGGTACAAGTTTAAGCAGAAGTATTACTAAGTATGCATAACTGAGCCATAAGCGTTTATGCATGTGTATGTGCCAGTATGTATGTATATCCCTTTTTTCACTTCAGAAATATCTTAACTAATAAACCACCTTCACCAAACGCAAAGAAAAGAAAAAAAAATAAATAAAAAAAATATATATATATGTACCTACGTATGTATATACATATGTAGATAAAAAAAGCAAAATAATAATAAACGTGATAATTCATAAACTCAGGTAAAATATAAAGAAAGTATAATTAGGGATAAATAGAAGAAAAAAAAATATGTTACGGCAATCTTATATTCCTTTAATAGGTGCACTTAGTAAAAGAATAAATACGTGAACTTTACCTTCAAACCTTTTCCTTTTTTTGTAGGATAATAGTATTGGTGTGGGGTGCCCTCGGACTGTATCGGTTCAAGTCAATGTCATATAAATTCCCCATTCGGTTAGACGCGCCCCTTCAAGCTATAATTGACCTGGGCCTTTGTAGCTGCGAACGCGTCCAATTTAAATTAATATAAACTACCCCATACCCCCTTGAAACCGTGTAGCAAACCTCACAAGAGCCAGTTGCCGCAACCTACTCATGGGTAGCCTGCCATCGGCTTCTATATAGAAACAAATAAAGTATTTGATTGAAACATCTGTTGTCTTGCATTAGGATATCTCTTGTTCAAACTTTTGAAAGTTCGTAAAGGTACTCCCAAGGCAAGATCAACATACCTACCCCCCTGTTATCTACTATACACATTCACCATGGTCCGAGCCTAGGTGAAGCTGTCCAATAGAAGCCTACACTGTCCGAAGAAGAAAAAAAAGAAAATTGATCGAAGTAGAAAAGATAAAGAAGAGTAAGCAGATTTAAATGGATAGTACAGGTAATTTACGAAATCTATAAAGAAACGATGTTGAGCTATTGCACGTTGGGTGCCATTGTTGTGGTTCTGCTTGTTCTGGGAGGGAGCGGTGGCAGGTTAGGCTGGAAATAATGGGCGAGTAGAAATAAAGGGTGAACACACCAAAACTGCGACACTTTGGGAAGCTTATAACTTACCCAAAACGAATTCGATATCTTGAAATTCAAACA